ATGCAGCCTTATTTTTTCACCCTAATGTTTTTATACAAAGGGCATGTTCTGGTTTGAGTCTTGCTTTCCCACTTACTACATGTCCTGGATGACTTCATAGAGAGCTGTCTCGCTGCCCTCCCGTGGTGAAATAGGAAGCAGGTGCCACATGACCACACCTTTGCCAGGATGCTCTTCAGTCTGGAGTTTTGGCCAGTCTGCAGCTATGTGTTCTTGAGCTGGTCATTTCCCTTGCTGGAGGTGCTCTGCTGTGGGAAGCAGCTTGGATGGAGGAGCCAAAGGCACTTGAGGCAGGACACTGCAGGGGGTGGACCGGGGCGGAGCCAGGAGCACTCTGGCTTCCAGGTCTTCAGGCAGGACCCTGTCACCATGGCTGCCTGCCCAGTTGAGGGTGCATATAGAGCCTTGCCGTGGAGCCTGCCCCTTTCAGGAATGTCCCCCAAGGTGCCCCTCCTCGTTCCTGCACTCTGGGACCCAGTGGAGTGACTTTGAGTCTGAGACTTAGAAGCCCTGGGAAGATTTCCTTCCTTGGGAGTGGGTCACTGCCCAGAGGATGAATCCTACACCTGTGTATCGTCGGGGCTAGGAGGCAGTAGCTGTGTACCTGAATCAGAACCAGTGGGTTGGAACTTGTTCTGCTAGCACTGTGCACAACTTGCCACTGCCCCTGCCTAGGTTAGGGTCAACCACAGCTCTGCTGGCAGGGATTCGGGAGTGGTAGCTAAGGGAGGGGTCTTGATGTCTGTTTGTTGTTTTATGAAAGAGTAAGTGTCTTCTCATGGATGGTCCATCAGAAACAGGCCTTCCCTGGTCCAGACTGCCCTCAGCTCTCTTCCTAGAACAAGGAGAACAATGACTCCCTTTCTCTGTCCCTTGGGCATCCCCAGTAGGTGACTGAGAAACCCTTAGCACAGAGTTGGGTGCATATGGCTCTCACTGTGTACCTCTGCCACTGAGTCAGTGCTGATCCCCATGTCCAGCAGGGGGCCTGACCCGAGTCCGTGAATAAGTGCACAGGTAAGCGTAGGCTCTAGATCCCACAGTCCTCGGGTCCTATCCTGGCCCCATACCTCCTCCAGAAGGACCAGTTGGGGTGGGTGAACCCCTTACCCAAGTACCTGCCGCTCCCTGGTTTCTCCTGTCTCTGCCCTGCCCCTTCCCTCCTTCAGAAAGGTTCTTTACTCTTTCCTGGTCAGGTTCACATCCATTCACACCCTCACCTTGAAACTGACTTAATAAAGGTACATTGAGTGTTAAAACACATCAGTCAGATCTTCAAAAGAAGAAAAAGAATTCCCTCATTATTCCTGCAAAACGAGCATTATTCCTGGAAAATGTGCTGTGTCCTGTTCATACACGTTGGGGTCCTCCCAGCAAGTAAAAGTGCTGAATCCCAGGCAGCTCCTCTTAGGGAGATTAGATTTCCAGGAAGCTGAGTGGGTGGCCACTTCCTGGGGAACCTAGCTGTTTACAGGGGTGATGTCACCTGTGGGCTGCAACTGGCAAACAAATCTATTGGGTCCCACATCTGTGAAAGTAGGCGTTCTAACCACTAGCCCACACAGCTCCCCCACTTGGGAGCCAGTTAGCCCATCACAGACGACCATGCAGGACCCCAGCACCCTGGCTAGGAGCCGGGCTATGAGGGGGACAGGAGCACGCAGCCCACGAGACAGACAGCCTCTGCCTCCACCACCCTCAAGTTGAGAGAAGAGGCCTGAGGGGTCCTCACCTGGGCTTTGGCCCCATTCCCACTCAGCCTGCCAGCCTGCTCCCTTAGGAAGCCCGAGGCGCTCCTGAGAAGGACCTGGGGGTCGCTCACTGATGGCCTCTGGCACAGCACCCTGAGCAGGATGCACCCCTTACCTGATGGAGGAGAGAAATGGAGCCGTTGGTAACAGATTAATGAGACAGGGGCAGCCACGTGCTTGATCAGGGAAGGCCGCTTCAAGGTGGAGGCTGGATGGAGGAGGGAGGCCTGTGGGCGGCCTGGGCTCAGGGGTGGGCACACAGCCTGCTCCCCCGAGGCCTGCAGGTCTCCTGTGCTCTTCTGTCTGAGGGGGAAGCAGGCACCCCTCTGTGCTGTTCTGGGTGCTTCCACACCCTCATGGGTCTGGCCTCTGCCACAGTGCTCAACCCTGCCCAGCATTCTGCTCAGATGCCCTTTCCTGGGGCGGTTTCCCAATCCTCCGTACCTGGCTCCTGCTCCTCGTGCTTCCATGGCCCCTTTCCCTAAGTACCAACATCTTCCCTCAATCAGCATCTTCGAAAAACTGTGCTTTACCTGTGTCTAAGCCACTGCTCAGCAGCTCAGCAGCCCCTGCACCCCTTCCCAGGCCTGGCAGGCAGCATTCTGCTCTCTCTGCGTTCGACTCTCTGGGGCCTTCACAAGAGCAGAACCGCACGGCATGTGTCCTTTCATGACTGGCTGGTTTCACTTAGACTGCCGCCGAGGCCCGTGTGTGTTGAATCCCCTGCCAGGCTTCCCTTCCATGAGGGCTGAGTAGTGTAGGGTGGCATGAATGTCCACGCTGGTTGATCCCTGCCTCTGTGGCCGCACCACAGGTTGTTCCACCTTTGGGCTACTGTGCTCGGTGCTGCTGTGATGGGTTTGCGAGTGTCTGTGTGGGTCTCTCCCCCAGGGATACATCGTACCCAGAAGCAGAGATGCTGGAGGCCACAAGGGTGGTGGCGGGCCCTCACCAGCCTGTCCTCCTTGTGCTCAGGTTGCAGTCTTGGCTCAGTACCCCTGAGGATCTGCTTCGCTCTTGTTGAACTAATAAGGGAGTCCCAGCTCAGGATTTCCTCAGGACCAAATGAGAGAATTAGAAGTGCACTGTGGGGTTTATATCACTGAGGACAGCAAACACACACCCTCTGTGACGAGATGGAGAAGAATGGAGGGTTCTTCCTAGGAGAGAGCGGTCTTTGGAAGGAGCTCTTTGATAAACTGTGTGTGCAAGTGTGGAGACCAAGGCGGCACGGGGCAGCTGAACCTCTGAGCCAGGGGCAGAGGGTAGAGCAGGCAGTGCTAGCCACGGGGCGCCGTGCTTCCACCCGCACCTCGCGACACCCTGGGAGGCTGGTGCTCTCGTCCCGTGCCGCAGACGCTGAAACCGAGACCCATGGCCTGAGGTCAGTTGACCAGAGCTCAGCAGCAGCGGCACCAGGATTCACAGCTGGGCTGAGACGTTCAGCTGCTGAGCTCCAGGGGAGGGAACCAGCAGAGCTTTGCAGGGGCTGCAATAACTCTCGCTGATCCAGACATTTCAGAAACAGCTGCTAGGCTCTCAGATCCTCCGTTGAGGTGGTGAGAGAGGAGGGGAGAGGTGGCTGTTCAGGTGGGTGTGGAATGAAACGGTGCCTGGAGCTGGGGCAGACAAGGTCCCATGCAAAGCAGCCCCGAGAATTCAAAGCAACAGCAACAAACATTAGCAAAGCATGCTTTGTCTCAGGGCTCGGGCCCACTGTGCCAGGCACGGCCCCCCACACCGCTTCGAGAGGCTGCTTGCTGGCATCCACTTACTACCCAGCACTGCTGGCTGAGCAGCTGCAGAGCCAGGCCCTGCTCTAGGTCCCAGCATGAAGTCTATGCCCTCACTGAGCTCCAGGATGGTGGTGAAGACAACACATGTAGCATGAGTTGCCAGGGGCCACAGAAGTCTTGCAGCCAAGGAAGTTTCCCAGAGGTAGGTAGCCGAGTCCAAGCTGAGACTTAAATAATGAACACGGCTAGGCAGGAGAAGAGAGAGGAGACAGCACAGCATGTGCAGGGTCTGGAGGGAGCATGTGGTTATTTAGAAGAGTGGGGAGAAGGCCAGAGTAGCCCGTCTAGTCCAGGAGTAGGCAGAGGTCCCTGAATCAGACATCCTGGGTGAAGCCTTTGCCGAGGTGCTGGCCCAGCTCTCTGACTGTGGATGCCCCTTGGACTGGGTGCTGGGAGGGACGTGCTCACTCTGCACTCCATGCCTCCAAAGCGACACTCCATCCACTCAGCCTGAGACCGGGAACATGAGCCGCATTCTCTGCCAGTCCTGCCCCTCTTGCTCGGGCTCCTGGCCCTGTTGTACCTATTCCTGCACGCACTTTGTTCCCACACAGCTGTCCCCAGTTCTGGCAAATCTGATTTTCTGTTTGTTCATTGCTATCTTAGCAGTTAAGACTAGTACTGAAAGCCAGTACTTCAGGGTTTGCATCTGATGCCTCTGTCCCTGCTTCTGGGCCTGCCTCACCTCAGAAGCACCAAACATGATTGTTGAAGGAATAAATTTGGCATTGGAAGAAGAACATGGGTTTCTCCTCCCCTTTTCCAATCACTAGAGAATGTCAGGAACTAAATTTTTCCTGCTTGATTGCAACTTACAAATGGTGGCTTTAATTTTCCTAAGAAAGGGAAAGAGGCTTATATTCCTGCCTCCGAGCCATACTGGTGCTTTAATGTTAGCACCTGGCCGACTTCTGTGGTCTCTATTCAGTCCAGTTTCTTCACCCACTGGTACTTGATGAGAGCCTTGACTTCCTCAGTTATGACTTTGCTTAAGTGAGCTGGTTGGTAATTATCTATGTAATTACCTCGAGATGTGGAAGGCAGCAGCCATGAAGCCATCCTGAAAGCCAGTACACGTCAGGAGAACACGGCTGCGTTGAATGGCCAACCACAGCGTGCAGACTTCATTCAGGAAAAATGGCCTCCCATTCGTCTTTATTCTCCGCAGCAAGAGTAGTTGTCAGATTAAAATCACCCCAGTGGATTTCTCTTCCTCACATAATAGCCACTTCATTTAATGGATTTAGGGGTGAGGGAAGAGGGCGCCCAATAAGTTTTCCTGCTTATTCCCTGTCTTAGAGTGACGTTGGAGTGGTTGGGTAGACCACCGGCTGAGCAGAGGGGGACATTAGCTGTGGGAGGTTTCTCGTCCAAGTATCTGACTGTAATCTTGTAGAGCTTCTCTCAGTCCCAGGACCTCAGCAGCTGTTGGCTTTTCCTTGACCAGGACTCACCCTTCTCTGACGCGCAGCGGGGAGGCGAGCGTGGAGGGTGTTCTGAGCCAGCTGGTCCTGGAGCACCTGCAGCTGGCTCCCCTGCAGTGGGGTGAGTACCACTGCCTGTCGCTTCTGGTGAACAGGCCCCTTCTCTCAAACTGTGCAAGTTCTTGGGTGTGTAGGGTCGGGGAGTTCCTCAGAGGTTGGTGTGTGCTGATGATCACCTCAGGAAATTGGGGAAAGAGCGCTGGCACCTCTGTTCAGGAGCTTGGCGTCCCCGTGAGTCCTGGTGGCCCTGATGTGCAAGAACTCCTTCCTGTCCCAACATGGATGTGTGGGCGGGTTTCAAACTGGCCTGGACTGCCCATCACTGGAGAGGTGCTGTTGTGTCTGGATAGGTGTGCTCTGCAGATATTTCTGGAACTTGGAGTGAGTTGGGATGAGGGACGAGAGCCGGGTGTGATGGCCTCCCTCTGCCTGGAATGAGCTTTGACAGATTTCCACACCCATGTGTGGAAGGGTGTGTCTCCTAAACACTTTCACTCAGCTGTCCTTTGAGACCACGGTTACTTAACACATAGCCTGTTTGTTCCTTTTGCACCCGTAAACTCATGCCGTGGAGCTCCTTCTTGAAAACTTGTGCCCTGGCCACATAATTCTAAGTAGTGTTTAAAGGTGTCTTGCTCAGAGACAGACTGAGTATTTCTTTGGAGTGCAAGTCTCTGTTCTCTGGAGTTGTTTCATTAGATAATCTATTTTGAATCGTTGCAGTCAGCTGCTAAAATACGTACCTTCCTTCTATCTCCTCCTCACCCAGGAAGTCAGGGTGTGTTCTTTTAAGAAGGTCCATATTGGCCAATTCATTAATAAGCTGGAGCCGCCCCTCTGCATGCTGGAGATGCCTGAACATCAGCCTAGGGCTTGGAGAAGAGAGCTGGCCTTTCTGTGGCATCCCCCCACTCCTCTGCTGGCCCTGCTCCTCACAGGGAGAACCCAGGCAGCTAGCTGGGTGGGCGGTGCCCTCCTGGCCACTGGGATGGATTCCCTTCCTCCTCTCCGACCCATTAAAGTGGGAGCAAGACTTGGCCTTTCTGCAGAGTGTGCCACAGTTTGGCCTCTGCAGGCTTCCCCACTGTCCAGAGACTTGTCCAGGTCCAAATGTCCTATCTCCCAATTCCTTGGGCACAGTGAACTGCTTTTACTGGGTTGGCCAGGGAGGTCAGACACATGGACCCTCCTGGTCAGGGACTGGGAAAGGTCTCAGTGAGCAGCAGCCCTATGTAACCTCTCTCCAGAGGAGGTTCCACCTGGCAAGTAAGCAGGACATTCATGGGGAAGTAAGGGAATGGCTGGTCATGGGCAGAACCGGGCCAAGAGCCAAGAGCAGAGTGACTTGGGATAGGGAGGCAGAAAGCAGGTGGCCTCCTTACCCTCTGTCTCAGATAAGTATCTGCCAGCTAGTGTGGCTGACCGTCAGGGTACCTGATGGCAGAGACCTAGGAGATGCTACCAGAGCTGCTGCTGGGGGGTACCTGTTCAGTCTGCAGGGGATGCTAGTGAAGGTGGCTATTCTCTGCATGGCCTAAGGTGAGTGCTAAGCAGTAGGGGATTCCGAGAAGAGGGAGGAAGCTGGGAAGACAGAACGCTCCTGCCCCAGGCATTTTGCTTGAGAAGCACCATTTACTCCTGAGGTAGCCAGGGAGGGTCCTTACCATATTTACAAATAGGAACCTTGTGACAAGCCACCCTCCCAGGGAGAAGCCCCGTCTAGCACCTGCACACAGAGCTCTGCAAGACTGTCAGATGAAGCACAGTAGCTGACAATGATAAAGGTCTCTTGGTGCTCCCTGTGCCCTGTCCCTTGAGGGTACTGAGATACTCTTTAGAACTATGCAGTAACAAGCTGGGCACTGCCACATGCCTGTGGTCCCAGCACGGGCAGGCTGATGGGTTCGGGGGGCTGTTGTGTGTACATGCCACATGTTCACCCATGTGTAAGTTTGAGTACTTTTCCCTGGAGAAACACAGCTTCTAAAAGATACTGCAGACACCCAGAAGGCCCTGCACGTTTGGTCTCCAGGGGAGTCCTGCAAAGGCCCAGGCTGGCCTCCGCAGTGTGAATCAGCCTCCATGATCAGAGCACAGAGTTTCCCTGTTCCAGGTACCATGGATTATTTAACTCCTGACATATTTGGCTATTTCCAGTGAACATCTTTTTGTTACACGAGTTTTGTTTGATTTTCTGACTATACCTGCCTTCTAGTTCTAGAGTCACTAGGTCAAAGGCCTGAACGTCTCTAAGGCATGAACATGTTTATTTGTGAGACAAATACGTGATTGCTGTCTATGATGTGACACTCTGGGAACTTGGGTTTCTCAGGTCACTTTCTCATCCCGTTTCCAGCACAGAACGCCAGGTGTCCTCTGCAGGGCAGTGCAGGTGATGGAGAGGGAGGGCCAGGGTGGGGTCAGTCCTGAGGTGTTATCGCGCATGCTCTGGACGTCTTCAGATCATAGAGGATGGGAACCGGGTTGAGAGACCTACCCTCCTGAGCCCCAGGAGGGCAGAGGTCTTGCCATGGCCACCAGGCTTTGGCATCTCTCCCCCGCATTCTCCACTTAGGGGCCCAACGTGTCTTGTTATCCTGGGGGCCATGGCCACCTGCACATGCCAGATCGTGGTGAGCCTGCAGGGGTCTTGGCTGGGCAGCGGCCACTGCTTCCCAAAGGCAGCCATGCGGGAATTCAACATTTGTTAGCAGAACTTTCTCCTTGAGTCTCTTTTTGCATCATGTGTTTGTGTATTTGTGCACGATCAAGGAAGGGGGGAACAAGCACCCTCACCTGTGACTCAGTGCAGACCCACCCTTGGGTACAGAGGAAGAAGCCACACAGCCCTGGAGGGTGACTGGCTTCGAGGTCCTGCAGACCTGGCTCCTCTTTGCCGCATTCTGCTGAGCTGGTCAGGCATCCTGGCAGCTCCTTCTGCCCTGAGCTCTGGCGCACTCTGTGGAGTGGTGACGGCCAGCTCCTGACTCTGCCGGGGAAGGGAATGCGTCACAAACATCGACCCCTTCCTCGCCACATGGCTAATCCCACTGACTGAGCGTGGTCAACTCTCTGTCCCTTTCCCTCTGTTATTCTCTCAGGGAGCTCACAGCCTGGGAGGGAACCCGTCTAGCACCGGAGTCACTGCAGCACCGCGGAGGAGGGCCCACTTCCGCTGCACAGGCCCTCTGGGGAGGGAGGAATCACTTTGGGATGAAGGGATCAGGATGGCATCATGGAGGTCCCTCTGATCTTGGGGATGGGGAAGGAGCAGGCTGTGCTCCCCAGTGTTTGCCATCAGGGAAGCCAGCTAGAGGGCTCGGGCCACAGCGAGCCAGTAGTGGTGAGAGGGGCAGAAGGGAGTTTTGTCTGCCTCCCTTCCTCCCGACTGGACCTTCAGCCCACCAGTGGCATACCAGTGGTGCAGGGTCTTCACCCCTGGCCTCAGTTCAGCCACCCTCTACCTTCCCTGTCCCCTGCACGACGTAGCTCGTATCCAGGCTCTTGGGCTGCCTGGTCCCTGCACCTCCCACACTCCTGACTTGGGCTACCCTAAGCAGACTTCCAGGGGCTCCTGCGAGGATGGACTAGACTGAAGCACCTCAAGGGCCCACCACGTGGGCGCCTGCCCCCGCCAGGCCTTTGTTCCCTGGCGTGCTGGTCTTTAGCCTCAGAAGTCCACACCTCTTTGGCCCAACCAGCTTTATTCCTTCCCTTAGAGCAGGTTCAGGAGGTCAATTAAAGAAAAAGGTTGCTATTTTTAAACAGCCATTTTGTAAAAATGGTCACACCTGCTGGGCCAGGGGCAAGGGCTGGGCTTTGACTTTGGGCCCTAATGACCCTGCATGCTCTTGTGTCCCTCCCATGAAGGAGGAGCTGAGGCTGAGCAGACCCAGGTTCGTCTCACCTGGGGCTCACAGCTGCAGAACAGTCTAGGTTCAGAGCCCCTCACACCTGAATTGTGACCTTCCCCCGGGGTCACTTTATGGAAGTAATATGTTCTCACAGCAAAAAGTGAGAAGCAACCAGAGGAATTCAGCAGAGGACAGCCAGCCCTTTCCTATCCCAAACCACCTCTGTTTCATCTTTGTGCAGTTCTGAGTTATCTTGCAATCCTCCAATTGTAACTTGGTTCATGGAAATGACCATGTCACCATTATACTTCCATATCCTTTTTTATGCTTAACAAAATATAAACGTCATCTGTATTATAAACACGTCTTACACACATAGGTAAAGGCTGAACTGTGTTTCATCAAATGGATACAAGATAATATAACACTTGTCCTGATGTTGAAGTTTTAGATTGTTTGAAAGTATTTACCACTGTAAACGTTTTAGACCACTAGACCCAGGTTTGTACACAGAACTTTATTTAGTATCTGGGGGTTAACTGCCTCAGCGTGGATTCCCACTTTTACCATGAGGTGGTAGCGACAGCTGCAGGGCACAGACAGGCCTGGTGCTGTTGGGCAAGCCACCTGGGTTGCATCCCAGGCTCTACTACCCCATGGTGAGTTGTGGCTTGGGCTAGGGGTCCAGTTCTCCACATCTCATTTGTAAATACTGAACACAAAAGAGGAGGAAATACTTCCTTGCCCCAGTAGTGAGAAGTCACACTGTGTATGGGCTCTGGGATTATAATTCTTACTTTTGGTTGTAGAAATAAGGAAACTAAAATTCTAGGGGGCAAATTCAGGACCCAGTGTGCGTCTTCTACCACGTCACTGACAGCAAGGCAGGACTTGGGGCTTAGCCAGCCAAAGGCAGGGCCAGGCTCACAACAGGACTCCCGAGTCCAGGCACTGGGCAGGAGCTTCCAAGATACCTCCTGTCTCAGTCCTTGAATGTTCTGGAAATGGAGTGTGTTTGTGCATGGTGCACACACGTGTCCATGGGCTGTACTCCCAGTGGGAAGGAAGCAGCTCTGGGCCTGTCTGTGCCCCTTGCAAAAGCCAGTGTGCCTCTCTGCCTGTCTATGCTGAGGACCATCTTCCAGACGTTTCCATAGATACCGGGTCATGATGACTAATGGGGCTAAGCTGCTTGCCACACTGATTG